CTATTCGTCCGTAGATTTGGTTTTTGTGCGTTTTGCATATTCATGCAAATATAAAGAAACGCACACGCAGGCAACCTCCTATATTTGTATATGCAAACAGAAAGGGTTACCTGTGTGTGCGTGTGTCCCGGGGCTAATGAACTTTGTCACTCCACTTTCAATTCCGTATAGAAGTAAGGAGCATTTTGGAGCATTTTGCCACTCGTTATGATTCTCTTCTTCGGTTTTGAAATCAATGTTCACGGACTCCTGAAAGAGGTTTTAGCAAAAAACGGTTTTAGAAGCAAGTTAACAGAAGAAGCTGAAACTTTGTGAAGATGTTCGCTGTCCATGTGCAACCAGATGATTTCAAATGCATTTATTATGTGCATCTGTGATGCTAGCCGTGAAATGAAACTTTGCTAGTGGCTTAGAACTTCCATGGAATCCATTCAGGGACGAAGCTGCTGCGTAGATAGAGGTGGGGTTTTTGCTGTTCCACGCTGCTCACATCAGTAGCTGTCGGGTTTACGTACAGTTGGCAGCAGTTTGATACTGCGCGTGCTAACATGGTTTTGGTAATTTCGTACCATATCGACAATACAGGAAGGATCCGGTAGCGTTATGAGCTGGGAAGGTATATAGTTATTCACGTGCCAGCACTATGATGGCACCAGGCCTAATCCCTCCACCCCTTTTTTCCACTCTGTTCACCTGTCTCTTCCCTCCCAGCCTTTATTAACGACATTTGACAATGAAGCGCTTATTCCTGAATTTTGTGATCCGATTAGTAAAGCCACTTGTCCGATTACTGATGTGTTGCGAAGATGTGCTTGAAATGCTATGGTAGTGGAATGGCAAATGGGGCTGCCGATACTGCGATCTTTTGACAGCAGGATGATCTTACAGCTAGCATCATGAACTAGGAACTGAGTGATTTTGTCATGTTGCATAGCAGTACTCATGTGGCTACTAATAACGTACCGCAATCGCTGTTTGCTCATATTTGAACCAATCAGCAGCTGTTCGTGTAATTGTAGGAAGGCACCTGTTGCCAGTTAGCCGAACACGCATGAAGGCATGTGGTTCATCCAGTACTACACCACAAAAAAAAGCACTGACGCAGAAGAGGCCAACGTTCCTGATTACTAAGCTCTTGTTTCGTGTGCTGTTATCCCTTCGAGTATTTTTGTTTTTCTTTTTTGGTACTACGGAAGAAAGACTTTTCGGCTGCTGATTTGCGAGGTAATGCAGTAATCAATAAGCCTGAAGCGTTTAGTATCCGCAGAACGACTGTGACAGGTAACTTCAGCAGCAGTATTGCAGAAAGGTCGTTACCGGAAAAGAATTCAGTATTTCTAAAACACGAGTGTCAGAGGAAGGAATCATGGCAGCGTCAACAGTTTCTCCTTATCATCAGCCAGGCCTGACCGCGCAGCAGATTGCCATGCTAAATGCTACGGCAACGGTATCGACGCCCTCGTCCGGGAATACTCCGTCACCAATGTGCTCCACTCCAGCTACCACTGTTCTTTGTGCTAACGGATATCGTCCAATTGTACCGTATGCCGGTCTGGCCCCACCCGTGGTAGCAAATGTTTATGAGGGAAATCCAATTTACCTCACTTCCCATTCATCGCACTGTGACAGCTTGAGCACTGATGCTACTAATGCTGCTGCTGTTACGTCAAGCGCTGCATACCAGCGAACTGTCGTAAGTTTCCCATTTTTTCCTTTCCGCCAACATTTTATGCGTATTTGCGCGAATTATGCAAGCAGCAAATGTTACGTATACTGAATAACGAACTTTGTCACCGTTTTCATGCATTTTTGTATATTTATTTAAACGCAAAAGCCGCATATCGGTAAAAGATTGTTTGTGTATGTTCGTGTGTTCGCATCTTGTCACCAACTTTCAACTAAGCAACCAGAATCTAGAAGCCTTGAACTTTCAGAACCCCGACTTTTAGACATAAAATGAGTTATACCCGAACTCATAGGTATAAAACCCAGGCTGAAACGCACCAGGCGAGCCGGTGCGATCATACGTTTTTGCACAATACTTGAATTA